TGGTACAAAAAAGGAAAATAGCATTGATTTGAGTTGGTTCACCTTGGAGTTGTGTTTCTCCAAAGGAGAAAAGCTGTAATGATAAGTCATTAAATCATCTGTTGTTGGAGCAAAATGCACATTCAAAAATGATAAGCAGTCCCCAGCTGCCTTTCCCAGCTGAAGGGAAGGTTCTGGTTGACTTGTCAGACACTGCTGCATACTAATCTAAGGGCCTGCAAGGCTTTGGCATATCAAGTCTTTTCCTTTGAAAATTGTCATGTGTGGCAGCTTTTATGTGCAGTATCATGTGTCTCCTCCCTGGGGCAGAAAACACAACAGGAGAGGGGAGAAGTTTGTGTTTCAGTGTACCACAACAAGTAAGATGGTAGATTGCCAGCTCTGTATTTGCATAGGAAACCACTGCTGCTCCATCCCTGCCTGCTCCCCAGGTGCTCTCCGGAAGCAGTGAGGACAGCATCCTCTTGGCACTCCCAGCACAGCTGTGCCACAGTGCCCACCCTGGTGTTCTTTCCCAGGTGGGAGAGAGGAGAGGCTGAGCTGTTGCTGCCACTCACCCCAAGAGGTTTTGCGTGCAAACTCCTGCCTGGAGCTTTGTCAGTAGCAATGAAATATTCTGGTTTAACAAGGTAGTAAATAAATGTGCAGCTGCACTGGAGTTCCTGACAGGGCTGCCACATGCTAGGCTGTGCACACAGTGCCAGGCTGTTGGATCAGCAGCACAGCACCCTCCTGCCCACAGCCTGCAGGGCCAGCAGCATCCTGCAGCCAGGAACTCATTCTGGAGCCCACAGGAGTGAAAGCCTGAGAACAACACAGGAGACATAAAGAGATTGCAGTGTTCCAGTGCAATAAAAAACGAATTAATAGTCATAGATGCACTTAGGTTCCCTCACAGTTGTGTTTTTCTGATCAGTTTCCTTCCCTCAGAAAGGAGTGCAGCTGGCTCGGTCCAGACTCTCGCTGCTGTTTGGAATTGTGGAGCATTTTGCTCGCCCTCCCTGAGCTTCTGGACAGCAAAATCTGCTTTGGGATGGAAGAACAGCACCCTCAAGAGTTGACAGTGCTGCTTCAGGGAGCCATAGTATGCAACATGCATCCTTCCTCTCTGTGAAATCAGCTCCCTGTTCATGGAACTTAAACAACAAGTTTTCTCTTTAATATTTGAAATATTTGGTATCAATCACTGTTGATATGAATGGGGAAATAAGCATTTGTGCTTGTTTGGGGATGAGCTGGTTCTAAATAGTTTGTCTTCAGCAGGGAGGGAAAATAAAAAGACTAAGATATGTCTTTTTTGAATGAGTCTGGGAACTTCATTTTATACTATATTAAAATAATTTTAACAGGAATTTAGGTTTCTGTGTAAAAATAGAAGACTTAAAAGTTCTTAACTTAGATAAAAGGGGTCTATGTAAAAAAAAAACAACCCAAAACTGAGCAAACCAGTCCTTAAATTGTGGGGACTTGTTCGTTAATTACAGTAATTAGGAATGGAATCTGATCCTAAATGTTGTGATTTACTTTAATTTTTTAACATGTAGTTAAGCCTTAATTTCAGAAAAATTATAAAATATGAGAGTGTTTTAAAGACTAGAGAGGCATAGGTATTGTTATTAAATCACAAACTTAGTGATACAATTCTGCTTACACTTTCTTAGTTATCCTTCTGCTGTTTCATGCAGCACTGACTTTTTATTTTAAATCTTCATGGCCTATTCCTGTTTCTGCTGACTTCAGAGTCAGACAAGGCCTCTTGAAAGCTCTGAGCATAAACTGCTTTTATTCCAGATTATATTTCTCCCAGCAGGCAAAAAGTGCAGCTCTGTGTTTGTCCCATTTCTGGAAATGGGTTCACTTGAGTAGAACAAGCTGAATCTGGACAGTTGCGTGCAGTCAGGGACATTTTACTCTCCACTCTGAAACACCTAAAACTCACTCCTGTCCCAGACCTGAGGCTTTTCCTCTCAACCAGGACTTTGTTCAGAGTTCTTATGAGTGTTTTCATTGCTCAGACAGTGCTGCAGCTCCCTGTGGAAGCAGCCCTGTGGGGCACTGCTACTGCATTGAAACCAAGACATATAATTTTAGAAAATACTGACTGCATATAAAACAATATAGGATTAAATTTTTTCTGTTGATAGTGAAATGTATACTCTGTAATCTGTAAATTAATGTTTCCCTGCAGTAATTACAGAATTCATTCTCCTGAGAGGACACTGGAGTATGCCAACTGACTCTGCTGGCCTTGCATTTGCTCATGAAGCAAAAGTTCACACCTGCATTGTGTGAAACAAAAACATGAGGGTTTGGTGCATTGTCATTTTTGTTTCCTGTTGAATCCTTTGAATTTTTAATTGCAAGAAATCTGTCAAACCCTTTCTGAGTAATGTTCTGTCACAAGTTTCTGTTTTACTAAAACAGAACTAAGAATTGCATCTTTTTTTTTCTCCAGCCATCACTATGTTTGATTCATTTTCCCTGCAGATCTTCTGTAGCAATTTTAAGCCTGCACCTGCTCCAGTGGGTTTGGCTTGTCCTTCCAAAGGGACCTTCAGGACCAGCAGAGCTAAATGCCCGTGGGACTGCCCAAGGTGCAAACAGCAACAGACACATCAATTCTGCGTGCTGCAGTGATGGCAGCAAGAGGAATTCTGTGCATCCACACCCCGCCCGAACTGAGGAGCTCCTGGGGAGGCTGTGGGCCGTACACAGGAGCCACAGGGGAGCAGTGGCTGGGACACGCAGCTCCTCTCCGGTCCTGCACTTGAAGGAGCATCGATCGCCTTCAAAACACACAGAAAATGGAGGCTGGGAAGGCAGTGAGGCTGCTCCCAGAGCACAGGGACACTGCAGAGTTGGACACCTGGCCATGCAGAGTTGGACACCTCACCACTGCAGAGTTGGACTCCTGGCCATTCAGAGTTGGACACCTGGTCACTGCAGAGATGGAATCCTGGCCATACAGAGTTGGATACCTGGCCATGCAGAGCTGGACACCTGGCCATGCAGAGTTGGATACCTGGTCACTGCAGAGTTGGACACCTGGCCATGCAGAGCTGGACACCTGGCCATGCACAATTGGACACCTGGCCATGCAGAGTTGGATACCTGGCCATGCAGAGTTGGACACCTGGCCATGCAGAGCTGGACACCTGGTCACTGCAGAGTTGGACACCTGGTCACTGCAGAGTTGGACACCTGGCCATGCACAATTGGACACCTGGCCATGCAGAACTGGACACCTGGCCATGCAGAGTTGGACACCCGGCCATGCAGAGCTGCGCTGGAGGGTCCAGGCCCCG